AATTGAAGTGACATAACCTGTGATATCTTTCATTGTTAATATACTCTTACATGCTCTACTTGGCGTTATTAGCACGTGTTCTTCCTCTTACTTGTTATTTTGCACTTATATGCTTTAGTTGAAGTTGTTGCCTTCCTTATTGTCTTGTTCCCTCTTAATTATTGTGTTCCTTCTATGACTCCGTGCTTATCTGCTACTTGTCTTAATTATTATAATTGCACACCTTAGTTGTCACGTGCTTGACTTGTCCTCTTACTTTTGTAATATTTGTTGGGTTCCTTGATTTTTATGTGGTTCCTTTATTGTCGTGTACTCATACCCTATGATTGTAGAAATTCTTATAAATTGAGTTTTGGATTATTGCTGTTAATTTAAATTGCTTGTGGACCGGGTTGCGTGCCGCAACAAGTGGAATAAGGGAGGATTTATATTGAAACGGTGGGATCAGGTTGCGCGCCGCAACAGGTGAAATAAGGGAGGATTGATATGATAAAATAAAGAAGGATTATGATATTGACTCTGATTATATGGTGGGATCGGGTTGCGCATCGCGACATATATTTACTTATTATTATTGATATTCACATGGTGGAATAAGGGAGGATAGTGTTTGTACGGTGGGATCGGGTTGCGCGCTGCAACGGGTTGTGTGTATTGTATTCATTGTTGTATTATGTTAGCTTTCGATATTTATCATGTGAGATGCTGAGGACTGATATATTTAAATTTACTGATTTCGAGGATTGAGTTGTTTTCACTCGTTTACTGCTTTGCCATCATTTCCTGTTTTCCTTTTCTATTACTATTATTTTGGTGAATTGAATTTTAAGATGAATTTACTATGCTAAGTCATTATCCCATACCCTATAGAGTTGTTGGTAACACAAAATTTTTAAATAAAGAAATTATTAACATGCTTATCTTATGTGACTCTTACGTTAAAACTCGTCTTTTTCTCCTGTATTTTACTATTCTTAATAGTTGTCATATTTTACTTTAATTGATTTTTCAACTTAAACTCCTCACCTTATTTGTTGATTTTATCTTACTTACAAATTGTTGTTATGATTTTATTTAACAGACTCTAAATTTAATTCGGTGGCTATCCGATGCTTTATTTTAATTGAAAATGCTATTTTCTTCACCCAAATAATTTTTAAAATAAACTTATTTTCTCAATTGATTTTCTACTTTATACCAGGTTGTTATTATGCCTTATTGTATAAGATTAAATCTCCTGAATATTTTAAAGTAATATTTGATACGGATACAAGGTACATGGTAGCACGTGGATTTTGCCGTGCGAAAGTAATTTGGAAAAATATGGGCACAAGGTGCCATTTGTGTAAGGTTTGGAAGTTGTGACTTATGATATGAGATTACGATATGTGGTACCTGTGGTAATTCTTGTTGAAATTATTGCATTAGGAATGATTTGGTTGATTGAGTTGTTATCGGGTCCCCTTACTTGAACCCATTCATATTTCATCTGTACCTCGACTATGTTGTTTGCTTAGTTACTTGGTTGTTTCTCGTTGCCATTCGTGCTCCCCTTATTTGCACTACTGATTGTAATTTGAGATCTTTCTACTATTGGCATAATATTGTTATTCTTTCCTTGTTAGCTTTATGTCATATCCTGCACAGGTTTACATATCCGGTAGGTATCTTGACCTGGCCTCGCTACTATTCTATCGAGGTTAGGCTTGATACTTACTGGGTACCACTATGGTATACTCATGCTACGCTTCTGAATATTTTTGTACAGACCCAGGTACATCGGTCGAGTTGGTTCTGAGACTTATGCCTGTGCGGCTGGAGACTTCAGGGTACACCTGCCGGACTTTCGCAGGCTTCGAAGTCACCTTCTATTACACTTTATTTCCATGGTGTCCTATTAGTCCGGGACAATGATGTATTATTATTTCTAGTGACTCTTAAAAAAACTTATGACTTGTACTACCGGTTTTGGGATATTGTATCATGTTGAGATTGTTGGCTTATTATAGAAACTTATGTTTCATGCTTATTAGTTATTTGGTTAGAGATTTATTATTAAATCAGCAAGTGCAAGGCTTACCTAGTCTTAAAAACTAGGTGCCATCACGACATCCTACGGAGGAAAATTGAGATCGTGACAAAACACCAAGAAAGTCTCATCAAATCCTATAAAATTCACACACAACAGCTGCACTAGACACCAAAAATAACATAAATTACATCTCAAAAAGTTACACCAGACTCTAGAAATAGATCAAAAATAACAAAAACTATAAAAACTGTACCTCTAAATGTGAGTTCTCGCTAATTTTTTTTTTCCCGCATATTTCCGTGCATACAGAATTCCTTAAATATTTGATGGAGAACAAAAGTATTAATTTTTGACAAACTTAAAGGCAAAAGCCTGCTCAGAGCATACTTATGGGACTAATTTGAAACCTGCTCTCAAATATAAGGGATCATTTTTTATCATTTTCTCTTATATTCGACATGGTCGCAAATTGTTTTTTTTTCCCTTGCCTTTTGCTTTTAATTTAGATGCCTTAACTAAAAACTTTATGGATTTAACTTAGAATAAAATGGTTATCATGAAAAATGAAACTTTAAGGATATCAATTATCAAGTATTATATTGTAGGAAAAATGATATTATATAACCGTTCTCAAAATAATAGTCGATAAAATATATATTTTTTGTATATATATATATATATATATAAAAATTATACACTTTTTCGATTACCGAATATAAATGATTTCTTGCACGGGCTAAAAGTGAAAAAAGTGCTATATTATACGACGAAGATCTCATTCAACTAGACTCATTCGTTTTGCAAGGATCGTGATCGGTCTCAACTCTCCCTTATTGTAGACACGAACACATTCAAATTAGTGTTTTGACCAACCAAAAACAAAACACAATGTAAATTTACTTGGACGAAAATGTTCATCATCTGTAAGTGTCTTGATTGGTCCGAACACCCCATGTTCACATATTATTGTTTTGCGTAATTGTAAACAACGAAGAAACTATAAGACTTTAATTTTGAGGAAGAGTCCTGACTCCTGACCCTATTTCTACTGTTTTCAAGCACTTGATTGATGAATTTGCTGGATCTTTCTAGCTAGCCAATTATTTTTAAGTAGATACGTTGCGTCTGCACCATTTTATCCCTTCGTTCCACAGCATTTTCTTATCTATTTTCTGTGAATTTGTAGTTGACTACGTATATTAAATTGTATGGTGAAGATTGCGAGTTGAAAAGGGGTAGATGGGATCAGCGGTTGGTTATCACCTATCACCCAAAGGAGCAGTCTTCCTTTTTCGTCGCTCTGCACAAAAGTCGCATTGCAAGAATTAGATTTTTAAGTTAAGTTGCATTCTAAGATTAAGTTTATAAATAGCATTCTGTAATTGCGTTGTATAAATCGCATACTATGATTGCATTTATAAATCGAGTTTTTTAATTCCATCTGATGTAGAAGTCGGTGAATGCAATTTATAACTCCACAAATATCACTTATAACTCTACTGATGTAAATATTTGGTTATGTGCCATGTGTTTTACACAGAATCAAATAATTTTATATTAGTGGCTAAAAATTGAAGTGATGATTTTATCAATTAATTCTTGATTTAAGTAATAAATACGTGTACATATCTTGTATTTATTGATTAAGTGATGAATGTGCATGTAAAACTAAAAGTGACCTAGTTATTCCATTAATCTTAATAAGAGGTCTCGAGTTTAACCCCCGAAAATTTAAGAAAAAAAATTAGAAGTGAATTTAAGCAATTCATATTAGAATTTGTCGCAGCAAGTAAATTAAATAAACAAAACATAAACGTATTAAAAGTATGTATTGGTGTTTGGGGACATAAAAGCTCTTTGTGTCTTTAACATCCAATAAAATTGGAACCATATAAACTAATTAATTAAGTAAAATTTCTTTTATCATCAGAGTTCAAAGGTTCAGTTATAGGATCATTTTATTTTGAAAAAAACATAAATTATTCTAAATCTTTTCATAAAATGTTTATATCTCGCGTGTGTAAGTGACTTTTTTCATTTTACTCCTTTGGAAATAATTTTCAGTAAAATAAAAAATCGATAAATACGTTAAATAAAATTGTAAACCTAAAAGAAACAAAAACTAAGTTTTACTATAAATATAAGTGAAAGATAAAAATGTTGAAACTATAGAGCATGTCATACAGTACAGATTGAAACTTGATCATATTGTAAAAATTTTCATGCCCAATTGGTGATTTAAAGTTTCCAAGAGAGATCAGATGACAAACCAAAAAAAATAAACGAGTTTAGATTTTATGCACCAACCGTATATACGCTTTTTACACTATCATACTTATTAAAATTAACATATGACAAGAGGAAAGTATTGTTCATAGCAAATTTAATATGAAAAAGAAATACTAAATATTTATAATGAATAATTTCTCGCAACAGAGTTATGAACCGAAAACATTTTCAATATTGGCAGCAGCTTCTGCTGAAGCAATTGTAGCTACTCCTGCGACGATTAATTTTGAACTTTATAGTACAGTCATACCTCTCTATAACAGTTTCACGTGTTCCGAATATTTTTGATAATGTTATAGAAAACATATATTATAACATAACATGAAAATTGATTTCGTAAAAAGCCTGACTTTTATAGTAAAGTATTGTTATATAAGAATATTGTTATACAGAGGTCTGACTATATAATAAATATTTATCGAGTCCACATAAATCATATGTGCTCATTTTCTTGTGAGATTATTTTCGGACCACACAAAAACTTTAAGACAAGAAAAGTTTATCACAATATGAACTTCCCGTGTATGGTTTTTCACTTTACATTAACTTTTTTTTCTTTTTACACAAAGCACAGTAGTGTTTTTTTTTTTTTTTTTTTTTTTTTT